TAAGCTATAGGGTATCTATTTATTTTATTTTATTTATTTATTTTTATTTATTTATTTATTTATTTTTTTAGCGAAGGTTCTATTTGTTTGAATTAAAAGAGAAATCGCTATATTTCTGTAAGCAATTTCTACAATGAAACGGTGCCACATTATTGTCCAGTATAGTATTACACTGCATTAGTATTATTAGTCCATACGAATTATTATAATTATACTATTTTTGTATTATTATCATCCTCATTAACAATATCCCCACTGTATATGTTTCTCAAGAATTAACGTTAAGGATAAATCCGTCTTAATATCGTTCTCAAGAACGTATCTCGTACGTAAGCTGGAGACTTGTGAAACAAATTTACGATTTGACATTAATGATAAGTTTTTGTTATAATTTTTAATAGCGCTGCATTTTGTTTATATCAAATAATTTGTATTTTCCTGATTCCTGAAGTGTTTATAAATCTACGTTGCCGTATTCTGCGAACTGATCTGCGGTTATACTTTCACTCGTTGTCCTAAGAGATTTCATGCAGACTTGTTACAGAGAAATCACAATCTTGGATTGGATTATTTAATTACAGTCACAGTTAATTACATTATTCAAGTCCACGAGATCTGCCTCGTTAGGGGAAGGGTGTGTTTGTCTATACTGCAGTTTCTGGCGCATAAACACGGTTATCTGCTCCAAACTAATGGTTAATGAGAAACAGTTAAAGTCGACAAAGGCCAGGAACCAATAATCCAAGAAGCAATAGAGAACCAAGAAAAAAATGGTAATCTCTATAAAGCAGCTTAAGGGGAGGTAAGCCTTCCCGGAGAAATTTGAAAGGGAAACTTGCTGAAAATCCAGTTATATATGAAAAATCCGATACTTTAAATCATATAAATAGATAAAAATTCAGTTAAACAAGCCTTTTTTAATCCGAAGGCCATTTATAAATAAAAATATAAAGTGGATTATTAAAATTTAAGTTTGTAAAAAAGTCAGAGCTACCAGCTGAAATTTATGAAAATAATTCTGGTATTAAAATTTCAAATAAAAATGAATTAAATAATAAATTATAATTATTTAATTATTTAAAACTTTTTTTCATTAATCTTAAATTAATTTTTTTCCATTAATACATATCTCGGTCCGAGGTCCGAGACAGACACACTGCATAAAATTGTCTAACGGTTGAAGTTTTGAAATTCACAATAAAAATTTTCTCTCATGAATTCAAAGAAATGCATATATCGTTATACCAGTTTAAGTTATTAAAAAAACACTTTTTGCTTTTTAAAGTATACCTACATCAGTTTGCTATTACTTGATGACTGATGTAATAGAATCTTTCAATGAAACTTTTTGAAACTGAAAACTAGACTTACGCTTAAAAATCCCTACCGATATATCCATTGCACTATTCCCATTTTAAGCTTGCTTATGCATTTGAATTCATTAAAATTATTATAGCCATTATAACTTCTATACGTGTAAATTTTGTAATATAAGAAAATAAATTTGGGGTTTTTCATTTCTTGTTTTTCAAGTCTGTCAAGAAATTCAATGAACGTATTTTGGATGAAAAAGTACATTTCAATAAAAGCGAGGTTTAGAGTGTTTAACCAGAATTTGTTCTGATTTGTTCATTTAAATAAAGTCACCTAAAGACTAGCTGAAGACGAATTAAATGGACCTTGTCTAAAACAATTTATGCTTTTCACTTCCTTGTACGAAGTAAAAAGGAAATATTGTAATCGCGAAAAGTTTCAGGCAGCATATTTCAACGAAAATATCCATTTTGACCGCTATCGAATGCAATTTAACGATGTTTTTGCGTGATATCTGTACGTAAGGACAGAATAAAACACTCTTTTCCTTCAAAAAAATTGTAAAATTGCTTTACAATTAATTCTGAAGAGAATTTTTCGTGGCGTCTGTACGAACGTGTGTACGTACGTGCGTACGTACGTATCTCGCATAACTCAAAAACGAGTAGCCTCAGAACGTTGAAATTTTGTATACAGGACTGCTAAAACATGTAGATGTACACCTCGTATTTCGGTTGCAATCGGTCGCACCAAACGTATATAAATACATTTATATATATATCCGCTCTGTCACCCGGCTCAGTGATCTCAGTTTCTTTACCCTTATATGTTTGTAAATTGTACATTTTTTGCTTTAAAAATGATTGTATTATGTTGTTTTTATCTTCCGGATAAGGTTTTTATGCCTTTAGTAAATCTGTATGCAATATTTTTAGAATTATCAACAATTTTAAAGTTGTCTAAGTATATTTTGAGTTTTTATGTATTTTTGCCTTCTCGCGAAATGAGAACTGAATTAATTGAATGAGAAATACTCAATGAAAAACTGTTTCTTTTTTGTTTTGTTTGCTTAATTTCTTTTACACATCATTCTAGCTTTATTATAGTATTTGAATAGAACATGTGGCAACGATTAGATAATTCTGTTCTTTAAATGATATAAATTTTGTGCATTATGAGTTATAATATGAACGAAATATATAAGTTAACTGTTATATCAGTATTGGATTATATAACAGTTAACTTAGTTTCCGTTATATAATTATTAGATAAGTTAACTGTTATATAATTATTAATACTGTTAAGTGAATCTAGCGCCGGAGTGTCGCTATGGTAAACAAATACTAGAGTGAATTTTAAAGAATGCATTTATTCTATTTTGGTTTATGCGCTGTCGGCGAAGTAGATTTAATTCAATCCAATAAGATTAAATGAAATGCAAGAAAAAATGCGTATAATTTAATATTCCAATACAAGGAAGTCATGTGGTGTACACATCAGATTTTTTATTGTGGTACAACGGAAAGATAACTACCACAAATCATACGAATTAACTTAGGTTAAAACAACAAGCCGAACAAACGATTATTTTAGAACTCAAACGACAAACAATAAGTCAGCTTTGGCAGCCGAGGAAGATGGTTCAGTAATTAAACCATCGAAACTAGTCCTGGAAAATTTGCCAATATAATGCTGATTTTTGGTGTTTGACTTGTAAAGAGATCATACAAATTAAGTTAAATTTTCTGCAAGAGCTACAAAAAGCAGAAGAAAATGCGTTTGATGAAAACCATGTTACCGTATTTTAGAAGCGGCTTTTATTGGTAAGAATACATAATTGAAGTGTATATAATTTGGAATACATAATCATTGTTAAATCATCTATTAAAAATAAATTTCTAATTCATAAAAGTAGATTAAGGACTTCTGCCTATCGAAATAATAGAGTATAAATAAACATTGTTCTTCCTGTTTTAAAGTGCTTTTTATCTTGTTTTGATTGCTGATTTAATTTACATAACGAAATGAATTTTTCTTCAAATAAAACTACTTAAAATGCAAGTAAATTATTGACAGTATTGCTCTATTAATTATAATGTGGATTATTCCTTTTAAGTCTATTTTTTTTTTAATTGCTGTGGGATTAATTGCTGTGGGATTGTCATTTTGAGCTAACTGTGGATGACGTCTCTCGTCTTATCCTAGTTTTGGGTGGAATTCATTGTACAGGCACTTTCCAACGCTTAGAAAATTCTCCAAAGGCATTTGCTATTTTTAAAGTAAGCATTAATATTGTGCAAAAATAATATTAAAAAAAATAAAAACTAACATTCGGATGAGCAGTACGTTTTCAGATCTCGTTCTGTGTTAAGGTACATGACAATTTTTTAAAATTCCAGAACTTAAAACGCATCTATAGTACAGGCACTTTCCAACGCTTATAAAACTCTCTAAAGGCACTTGGTATATTGCGCAAAAGAAAATATTTAAAAAAAATAAATAAAAACTAACATCCGGATGAGCAGTACGTTTTAAGTTTTCCTTCTATGTAGGTGACAATTTTTTAAAATTGCAGAATTAAAAAAAAAAAAAAAAAAAAAAAAAAAAAAACGCATCTATTGTACAGGCACTTTCCAACGCTTATAAAACTCTCCAAAGGCACTTAAAATTTTTAATGTAGACATTAATATTGTGCAAAAATAATATTACAAAAATAAAATCTAACATTCGGATAAGCAGTACGTTTTAAGGTTTCGTTCTATGTTAAGGTACACAATTTTTTAAAATTCCAGAACTTAAAACGCATCTATAGTACAGGCATACAGGTACTTTCCAACGCTTATAAAATAAGACACTCTTAAAAGACACTTGGTGTATCGCGCGGGAAAAAAAAAAAAAAAACTAACATCCGGATGAGCTGTACGTTTTAAGGTTCCGTTCTATGTTAAGGTACATGACAATTTTTTAAAATTCCAGAACTTAAAACGCATCGCGTTTTGCACAAATTTTAAATTCGGGTTTAACGTTTAATTAGTTATTTTTAAATTAGAACAATGGAGAAAGTTTCAGTATCTTGGCACTTCCGAAACTTTTCTTTGAATAGGAAAATCTAAAAATAAAAAAATTGTTCTTTTCAAAATAATGATGCTAACCTTTCCTTTATAAAAATTGACTGATACTTTTTTTAAAAAAATTCAAGTTATGCGCGAAGAGTTTTCTAACATCTATGTATTCAACAGTTGTTTGTTTTTATTTTTAAGACTGAAAACTACAACCTATATTTCAATGCTTTCGAACTAAGCGAATCTGTTTGTTCAAGTCGTTAATTTAGGAGGCAAGAAAAATGTGCTCATAAAAAGAGAAACAGAAAATAATAATAATAAAAAAAAAAAAAAAAAAAAAAAAAATTGTAAAAAAAAAAATCTTTTATTATAAAAAAAAAGTTATATAATAAAAGATATTTTGCTTTTAATTAAGTCATCATTTCCTATATTCTCACCGGGAAAAAAAATGAAGCTTAGTAAGTAATAACAACTCAGACTATATTTCCAATATGAAATACGGAAACTGCTGACGGCGCTATAAACAACTCAACAAAGCCATTAAAATCTTATTTAAGGCAAAAGTTAACGCTAAATAAAATCATATTATTGATCCATTGCGTTAAATATTAAATTAACACTTACCTGTACATTTCCAAATTAGCATAAGCTCTTCGCGTTTGGAGTACAGAATATGAAAATCCGTTATTTTATGAAAATATCCAACACCATCAGAATGTGATTATGCAAACGCCCTTAACCGCCAACCGCAAAAAAAGACACTTTGAGAGAATGGACAAACAAATTTCTACTTATTTCTCTTCTTTTTATTATTATTATTGTTTGATCTTCACAAGGCGTTCTGTGTTGCCGTGGCGGAGATAAAGAAGTGTGTGAAAGTGAGCACAGGAAGTTCAGCCGGAATGAGGAAGCGGCTCGGAGGAAATGGCGATGAGTAAGCACGTGGGTTGTAGAGGAAGTGAATATAGAGGTCTCTTCTCTTGATGGCCCTAATACTCTTCCAACAGCTAAGACACAGAAAGGGAAAGAACGAAGGGCAGGGAATCGCAACAGCTTTCACTTGCTGTCTTCGTTAACGAGCTGGGATCCAGAAACATTAATCGAAAACTCTTTGAAAGAGAATGCGTGCGCATATCATCTGCCTCAGGCATGTGAAAATGTGTCGCGAAACAGTGTCAGGGGTACCGGTGTTTTGTTCTTTTGAGAACAAGCTAACAAAGACGGTATTACATTTCCTATATACATGTAGTTTCATTTCGTGAGAGTGGCATATATTTCTCACACCCTCGGAAGAGTTTTCGATGCCTCAATAAAATTTCCTACACGTGAACCTTAGAAAGATCAGCTTATCTTGATTTCTAGGAACGATATTCAATTCTCAATACCGTTGTTTACAATAGTTTTTAAAACTTGGGCTTTATGAGAAACAAGAAGTGTCTTATAAGTAAACATTTCTCCCGCCTTCTTAGCATGCCTTCGTGGTGTAGTGGTCAGCATGCTCGACGCGCATTCGAGAGGTCTGTGGTTCGAGTACAGGAGAGGGCATTGCTCATTTTTCATGTCTCCTACTCTCTGTCAAAAAATACCTAATGCCTCTACAGTGGCGCCCTAACTAAGAGGTGGTGAATGATGATTCTTCACCACCAGGATTTGGCGATTGAATCCCCTAAAACCCCAGTCGCCCTTTAAAAGGGGTAGTATATGGGGTATTTCTCCCGCCTTCTTAGCATGCCTTCGTGGTGTAGTGGTCTGCACGCTCCACGTATATTCGAGAGGCAGTATGATATGACATGCGGCACCGTCCTGTTGGGTGTGTGTGTGTGTGTGATTATGGCAAAGCCTCGACGGCTATCTGCCTAAGGGGAAGGATGCCTTCGTGAGGATTTTCTAAGGGAAACTGGCTCGTATACACGTTACACATGGGGCAAACCACGAAACCGTCCATGCAGCCAGCCCGTTCGCGTGATTCGAATCTCGGACCGAACTACCAGTGTTCAGCGACTTTACCACTCTGCCGCTGGTAGGCCCCGTCTTGTTGGAACGACATGCCCTCCAGATTTGACCAAAAAAAAAAAAAATTATCATCCATCGGTGTCGCTTACCAGTCACCGTAAATGTATGTCCTTCCTCACTTTGGGGGGGAAAAAAAAAAAAAAAAAAAAATGGTCCGGTGATGTCACTATGCCATAAACCACATCACATAGGAGAACTTTTGCGAACTGCAAGGGTTTCTCGTGCATCGCTTATGGGTTGTTTTTACTGTTAAAACAATTTTGTTCGTTAACATTGTAGGGTTTCCCTTAGTTTGACTAGCCAATTATTTTAATTTTATCTTTTCTGAATTCTTTTAATTCCCCTCGTTATTCCTGGAAAGGATAAATTTACTTAATTTATCCTCTCCAGGATGCAAATTAAGTACATGAACGATAGCATTTAAATAGGGGAAATAAGAAGGTTAAACACAGCGTGATTTCGCTGGTGAAGCGCACGTTTGCTATTTTGTCCTCCAGCTATAATCTTATTCTGCGTTTACGAATACTGGCCGTTTATTAAGTACCAGAAAGCCCGGCGGTCATACTAAATGACCGTTGTTCTAGATATTATAAATTGATGATTATAAATTGATTATAAATAGATGATTGCTAATGCAAACAAATGTTCACGTTCCCCCAGACACGCTCAATTTGCGTTCAGCTGAAAATTCAGTTTAAAATACAATGTCGGAATAAAATCGGGCAAAATTTTAAACTCTTTACGCGAAAGGATATTTAGCATAGAAGTTTGGGTAAACCTACCTGATGAGATGTAATACGCACAACTCGTTAGTTGGTTTTGTCTCCTTTAATTTCTCAACGTTTGCAAGTTTCTAGGTAATTCATATGTAAATATAGTTAAATGCATAATAAGCAACTATTTTATGAATTTAAAATATTTAAATGTTCTTAAATACCATGATAATTTAATTAAAACAATGATATCTGAATGTATAGTATCAGTGTATATTTGAATTTGAATGCCGTGGTAACTTCACCCCATTGGCTAGTACAGTTACGCAAGCAACCAATAAACTATCGACGACAAACAGACACTTAAGCCGCATATAATAAAGTACGCAAGCAACTAATAAACTATCGGAGACAAACAGACACTTAAGCCGCGTATAATAAAGATATTGCCAGTGTAGGTTGTTGAGTCAGCCTGTTAGCTTTAATTAAACTGTGTAGTCTAGTAGGTAAACGTTAAGTTAGGGAAAGCCTTTAGGATAGAAGAGTGAAAATATTTTTTCCTTACTATATTTACTATATGCAATTTGGTTTTTACATTTTTTTCATACGATTTTGATGTAACACAAAAGAGGAAAAATTTAAGAAATGCTTTAAAAAGTAAACCGTTTTAACTTTACGAAATCGAAGTCTTATGTGAGCTATTTTACGGGTATCATTTTCATACAAATAAATGGACATGTATAAATTTTCCCGTCAATAAAATACTCCTTATTTAATTGGACTGCTGTAATTCAGAGTCACCCAGGCGCTTTACATAATGAACACTGAAAGGTTAATAAAGAACATTATAGAGATACATTAGGTTATTTCGAAGCAAGAGACATGAAAAATGAGCAATGCCCTCGCCGGGACTCGAACCACGGACTTCTCGAATACGCGCCGAGCGTGCTGACCATTACACCACGAAGGCATGCTAAGAAGGCGGGAGAAATACCTTATAACATTATTTTGAGCAAAAAAATTCGAGACAGTATGGCTTGTAATCGTTTGAAACCCATATTAGACTGAAGACTAGGATATGCACAACCATCTGATAGAATATGCACTTGATCTTGCCTCACATTTTCTTAAAACTAACATTGTATTTATACTTTTTGGGATCTTAGTAAATTTTCTGTAGGTACCTACCTTCCCTACTATATAACAATTTTAAAAATTTTAAAGATGTAATGTTAATAAGATAAAGGTCCACAGAATTAAATATTCTGCTCCAGAATGTTAGTTTCGCTTTATTACGAAAATAACATTCTAGAGGATACATAAAATACTTAAATTATGTATTTTGTGTATTTTAGTACCTAAAACGTTACTAAAATACTAAAGAGAAACTATAACATTCTGCAGCAAAATATATAATACTGAAGAACTTTGTCAAAATGAATCCCAAATTAATATTAACTTTCATGGATAAATCTAATTTTTGATCACTGAATGATAATGTAAAAGCAATGAAATGTCTTAATATGGCTTTTCTTCTGATATTTTTTTGCTCCATATTACTTCGGTTAGTTTATCTGTGCTGACGTAAAGTCAACCACAAATATCTTGTTTATTACGAAATAGTTAGTTTCGCGAGAAAAACTGACTTTTGTAAATGGGAGGGGGACATCAGAAATTAGTTTTCTTAATGTAATAATCTGAACTGATAAATTTTCTATAGGGACATAATACTAATGTTAAGAGAATAAGTAAATAACAAAAAGCACTGAATTTCGGGTGGAATAATCGATTCAAGTCGGAAGGATCTGCCAAAAGAATCAGTTATGTTTCTGACAACTTTATTTTTTGCAGGCACGGCTGTTAAGTAAGCAAATTATTGTAAATAATATCTGAGAAGGAAATTCTGAAGTAAAAAACAAGTGCCACTTATGTTTTTCATCCACGTCAAAACTACCAAGCATGTTCTGAATTTTAAGCTTTGCAATAAAAAGCATTGTTGGTGCAAACTTACACAATTCCCTGATTACTATTCAATTATCAGTTATCTAGATGGCTGCGGCTGCAGCAGCCAAAGCTCATCTTTCAGCAATTACATTAAGGCTGAAATTTCCGTTTCGGAGTCGCGCATAATCGCAATTCAGCCTGTTTGTAAAACAGCACGCTTTCCTTCCTTACCACATTTTCTTTCTTCTTTCCTCGAAAGATCTAGCAAACAAGGCTTAATGAAATCGTTTTAAGAGAAACTTCCTCCCACCAAGGACAAACAGAACAACTTCCTGAACATTTCAAAATATGAACACCTCGCACATTAATACGTGTTTCTTTGATACAAAGGTTTTTTTGGAGATTGAAGCTCAACTCGTTTTGACGTGCGAAACCTTAATCTGACATATTCATAGTAGACGCAGAGGAAGTAAGCGAAATAAATTTACATTAAATAGGATCACAAATTTTGTAAGCTGGCCATGTTATTTATTTTAGTCATTCAAGGTAACGTTCATTATTCATAGCCATTTCGTTAGAAAATTGCAGAATTCGGTGTCGTGAATATAAATGTCTAAAATTGAGAAATACTTACCGGTTCCTATTTTCTATTTATATAACCCAAAAGGAGTAATATTTCTAGTTCATGGTAAAAAAGAAAAACCACTGGAAAAATATGAATTCGTTTTCATAAATACGTGAATTTTCAAAAATACAAGTTCATCTTCCTGGCTTATTCTCATTTAAAATTTTTAGTTAAAGGGATTTTACGCGTGCAGCAAATGGATAAAAGAAAAGCTTAAAAATGATCAGAAATTTGCTAGATGAATTTCTTTGTATGATAAATCAGTATGCTGTTAAAAAGAATTAAAATTTTCCCATACCTACACACATAAGATTTATCTTCGTAGGATGGAAGTTTTTCCGAAAATTTTTTTAAGGAAAAGTAGTTTGTATTCACGTTTTGCAGGATAAAAATCATAGAAATATCATTCAGGCAATCTGTTTAGTCGGCGAGAGACGCCTCATGCCATAAACTTTCAGTACTCTCTTCCTTTTGCTACCAGTGAGTTGTTACCAGTCTCACTTGCTTGACAATAGTCAGCACAAGCCCACGACAGTCACCGTGGCAAGGAGTCAAATGCTCCTGTCGTTTCGAGGGACAGCAACCCGAGAGGACAACTCCTAAGGTTTCCTCCTCTATTTTCGTACCACAAACCTCTCGAGAGGGCTTTCGGTTCGCCGCATATTTAGAGTGCCCCCTGCCGCACAGATGCTACGCATTTACAGA